ACACACACACACACACACACACACACACTGGATGTGGCCCCACGTGGCCTGATGTGTTGCTTAACCCTCCTCTGACAACAGCCTTTGACTGTCTGCCACACCGACAGGTTGTCAATCACACAGCTGACTCATGGAAAGCAATGAAATGACTTTTTCCCCCTTTTTTTTCAACAGGGGTTTGATTTGTGATGCTACACCGAGGCTAGAGTGGATTTCCCCAAGGTAAAAATCAGTATTAATGAGACTTTCCCTTGACAAGGTGCAAATCAATACAGTAATGTGCAAAAAAAGGGTACGTGCTGCACAGTACATTTTTAGAAACCTTTTTGCTGCCTTTTACTTTTGCCTTTTTTTAAGTTATATGCGCCACATAAATTTTGCCGTGTCCATTATTTATTAAAACACAACAGCTTACTGTGCACCTTGTTAGTTACAAAAACCTCAGAAAAACAGGGGATTGTGTCCAGTAAAAAAAAAATAAACTTGTGGCTTACAATAAAATATTTTGAAGGATGTATTTTACTGTATTAATTCACAAAGTTCAGGTTCTAATTAGCTTGTTAGTTTCATTACAGTTCAGTAAGTTTTATTATGTCTTCCTAACAAATGATGGATTTGAGATTTTGGAAAATTCCTTATTCAACACTGAATCTCTTAAAAATTAAGGTTTGTGTGAATATTTGCACATAAACCAGATTTATGTTTGTATTTTTAAAAATTCTTTATTTACCGTTATTTAACTTGGCAAAGTCCCGTTGAAATCTCAGATCTCTTTTTCAAGGGAGGCCTGGGCCTGAAGGCAACCTATTGTACGTGTTTATTGGGATGGGGGAACTGGAGTAGCCAGAGAAAACCCACACAAGCACAAGGAAAACATACAAACTCCGCACAGAAAGAACCCAGGTCCAAACTGGGGATTGAACCCATGACCTTTTGGTTTTGGGGCATTGAAGCTAACCACTGAGCTGCCGTGCTGCCATCTAATCTGTAGGTGTCATGTTAATGGTTATTTATTAGAATTTGTTAGGTAGGGTAAGTACTGTGCAAATGTTTGAAATCACTACTATTTTCTATATATTTTACTTCCAAGCAGCCACTATCTTGTAATGTTTTCAATAGATCTTGTTCAATAACCTTTCAGGCTTTCTGAAGGTTTTCCAAAGATTTTATTTGGACTTTCGCTGCTTTACAGCTTTTATGTTCAGTCTCTAGTCCTTAGACCGTTTTATTAAAGGGGCAATATTTGTTTCTCAGGCATATATTTAAACTCTATACTATAATAAAATAACTACGTCACCTTCAGTTATTAAAATGCTGTTTATGTTTAAATAGAAAATAAACCTGGCTTCTCATCATATGTTTCTAAATGCCTTGAAATTGGCCTCTGTCTCTTTAAGAACCTCCTTCTGCTTCTGTCCCGCCCATTGGGGGCCAGGTGGGGGTGTGTGCTCTATGATGAGGAAGCTCAGCCCAGAGGAGGAGCTGATCCCAAAAGGCGGTTCTAGGTTCAAGCAGTCATTTTTGCTCCCCTGCCTGGCTGCCTCAGGACACTACAGGAGCTCTCAAACATGTATGAATGAGTCAAAACGAGACTCTGGGTGTGTTTTTGTAGAGAGGATAACATTATAACATGATATAAAGYTCAAAAAAGTTGATTTTACACGATATAGCTCCTTTAAAAATGAAAAATGTGGAGGAACTAAGAAGAGATTTCAGACCTAAAATCTACAGCAGATGACCACTATCTAAAAGTGGTCTTCACAAAAAAAAAAGGGGGGGGGGGGGGCAAAAAATCTAGTAAACCCTGGGCAACTCCTTGTTGAAGCACGACATGAAAGAAACGGGAACAAATAGTGTCCTAAAAATCCAATTTAAAATTGCCTATTTGTTGTCTGTTTGTGTCAACCCCACAGTGATTCATCCTTATAGGAGCCGTTTTGTGCCTGAATTATTCACAGGTCAGAGTCAGGTGCCTTAAGTTTTGAAAGTGGTCCCACACAGAACAGTAAACGGGTAAAAAAAAAAAAACATCAAAAAGTCATAAAAGCTATTCAAAACACCTGAAAAAATATAGTTCGAGACCACTTCAAAACATTACAAGAAAGTCCTTGAAAATGAAACATAAAAAATAAATGAGGGATGACTCAAGACTTTTGCACAGTGTTGCATATCAGTTTTGAGACGTGTAAAAAATGTATTAATGTTTCCACTCAGTATCAGAGGAGAAAGCATGGGTTGAAATATCACATAACAATTTGAGTTCTTTAAACAAGCAATTAAGTTTGAGCTAATTTAATTGCCTCACACTGAGACAGAAGTGACATTTTCAAGGGATAATTTTTACTAATTTAAATGGGAGACGTAGTTTGATTAATGTGACCTTTTTATTGTTGATGGAAACACTTGACTTAATAGGCATTTGAATGAGCTTTAAAAGAGTAGCAATGGCTTTTGTTGCAGATTTAACAAAGKTAATTTGGATATTGTATGTACAAAAAAAGAATTTTCATTTTAATCTCAGGATTCTGGGAAAAAAGTCAGATTTTTGAGATTAAAGTCAGAATTATTATTATTAGTTTATTTCAGTGGCCCTAATAGACACACTGACCTGGCAACATGTTTTTTGGAATGATGCGAAATGCAAACATATTTCACAGTCATTTATGCAGCCTACACGGAAGGTCTACGGCTCACGTAGGGTGTGGCCTACATGGGCCRCATCCTACATGTAGGCTGCAACCCCTGAATTTAGGCAAACCTGTTGGTTTTCTGTTGGGTTTGATTTGAAGGTGGGTGGGATCATATGTGTCAGAATGACCAGAGTTACAGCTCCATCTAACTTAAACTTCCAGTTGAACCCTTTCAGAATAAAACCATTTCGCTTGATCAAGTTTGTATTTTTATAAGATGCTAGATTCTGCACACACGGTGCCTGCCACATCCAGCACTGCTTAAAAGAGAGAATAGTTCTTATTAATTTGGGATAAATGGCATAAAAATAAAAGTTTTTCACTCCTGAATGTTTTAGTGGACTTGAAATTAGCAGAACATAATTTAGCAGAAGCTAGTTGGTTTCCAAAGTTAGCAAAAAGCTAACCTGCTAAATGAGAAGCTAGTTCCTCTGTTAGCGGTTTGGACATCATTAGATTGAGATTTCAGATTCAACCTATTATGAAGAAAACACAAAACTTTAAACAGAGCAAGGTTTCTATAATGAGTCCAGTTTCACTCAGATAATGTCTCACGCTGAAATGTCATTTCAACACGCTGGGTAAACAAACTTATCAGCACGTTTCCCGATGATTATCTGACAAGAAAGAGTTTAATAAATTTATGTTGAATATAACCATTCTAGGCCAAATCAATTAGTTTTTTTTTTTCAAATCAGGAAGTTTTAAATAAATAAATACTTAAATATGTTGGACAGGAAACATAACGAGACTTTTTTCTGCATTATGAATTAATAAATACTTCAGAATGAGCTTTGCTCTGTGTCTTTTTGTTTCTTTTTTAAAGTGGGCACATCATTAAGCAACACCAAAGGACTTTTTGAATTTATCCAAAGATTAAACTCATTTTTTTTGACAGCAGAAGTCTTTAACAAACAGGGAATTAGGATGGTTTTCTGTTTAACAAGTGGTGGTGAGATACAGACTGTGCCTCTAAGACTTTTCATGTTTTCATCATTTTTTATGWCTAATCCCTCAGTGGATCATCTTTTAATGAACTCATTCAGCTCATTCACCTCGCAAGGCTTGTTTATTGAGTCTGTAACAAGAAGCTCAAATAAAAAGGTTTCTTATGGCGTACATTCAGTATCGGCAAAACAATCCAAACCCAGTTTTGTTTTCAGTTGAGGAAATGTTGCCAAACAAGCTGAAGAGATCTGCTTCAAACTTCCAGGTTTTCAGTGGCAGCAGCATCATCAAAGGTTCATTTACGGGGAATAAAATGATAATACATTTAATTTTTCTAAAGTTAACAATCAGTCCTAAAACCGTATATAACAGGATTTAAAAACAACAAAGAGTGCTCCTGTCGCTTTAATCGCACCGAGAACTGGAAAATCTTCATTCAAATCAACCGAATCCTTACTTTGGTAAAGAAAAAAATAGTTTGACTGACAAAACAAAAAAAACAAAAAACAAAACTATGTGATTAGGAATCTTTCTACACATTGGGTTGTGTAATAAATCCCTAAAACATTATTTATTTCTAGGCATGGGCTGGTGTAAAGTCGAAGGAATAACAAACATGGCAAAAAAAATAAAAATAAAAAAAATCACAGTTTCATGGTATAAACAATAAAAACGGTTTTAAACGCTCAATTTAAAAATAAATAAATTATATCAATTGTCACTTCTGTGGCTAAACTTAAAAACTTTTATTTTTTAACAACTATTATTTTATTTATATTTGTAGCTATAATATAAATTGGATATTTATTTGCTTAAAATTTATTTTGCTGCACAGATTAACAGCAAGTGTTTTGATAGTTGTATCCTATAAAACGAACACTCAGCTCAAACACTGACAAGTCTGTAGGGCATTTTAAAATATCTTAGGCTTTTTAGACAGATTTATAAACAGTGAAAGGTCTGAATATAAATGCAGTAGAAAAACAGCTTCATTTATGAATACTACTAAAGTCAGATGCTATCTATGTACAGTTTCTGCCATGGTAACGGTGCTGCTTTTTCACTGATATTGAATAGTTTTCTGTAAACCTTTTCTTCAAACAAAATTATCTTTAAAAAAGAGACGAGTGGTGCTGTTTTTGTAGAGAAGTTATAAATATTATTTTGCTACAGGAAAAATGTCCAAACGGCCAATTGTCTCCTCGTTCTGCCGTCATACAGCTGACTGACAGCTCGCAGCAAGGAGGAGTGTTCGGCCCCATTTATCTCTATATAAATGTTGAAATATCCTGTTTACAGTGTCTTCTAAATTACGGCTCTTTGTAAAATCCAGTCAAAAGTTTGATGATGACAGAATCCAGGTAAAGGGATGCAAAAGTAGAAAAGAAATGGCTAAAAACGGCTTTATTGTTGTTTTAGTTTTTAAGTCAAAGTGATAGTGAGCACGCACAAACAAGCTGCTATCTCATTGTTTTTAAAAGTTTTGTATCTCCAGTCRTTACAGATCCAAGAGAAATTAGTTTCAAAGACAAGCCTCATGTGACTTAAAAAAGGTCAGAATGAGAGAATAGTGTTTTCTTTTTTGAAGGTACAAAAACTTTTAAAACCAGCCCATGCCCCACCGTAGAATCCCGTTTTACATTTGATGGGGTTATAAAGAGTTTAAAAATATCCTAATCATCCAAGGATCAAAAACGACATTACTGCTGTGCACAAATTTAACAAGTACAAGTGGAGAGACGAGGCTCAATCTGTCATACATCCTCATACTGTATATGCAGGTTTTCAGTAAGGCACCAATGGATTATTCCTTTAGATAAATAGATGAACGCTGCTCGTTAAGAAACTAAAAGGTCAACATTTGTCTCTCAAAGGATGGTGGATGAAGAAGCAACGAAGCTTGTAAATTCATAATGAAAGAAAAAGAGCTTAATCCAAAGTGACATTCCTTTTTGTATTGATGCAAAGCTGCTGCCTGCAAAGAACCATAAAGTCACGAAGGCTGATGATGTTTCTTTTTTAACGGTGACGTTCCTCAATCCGATCCAGATCTCAGGGTCTCTGGACATCCAAGAGGAGACACAAATGCATCTATTGCTTCATATATTTCTATGTTTCAGTGTTTTCCAGGCAATGATCAGTCAGAATGGACTCATTTTCTTTCATCTCTGAAACCTTTATGTTTTAGTTCGAAGCGTACTTTCCGTTTGGTTTTTGTTGCTGATTCAGCAGCAGGGACGACACTTAAGTCTGACTTCCTTCATCAGTGAATGCAACCGTTTTTACGTGTTTGAGAGGCAAATAAAAATGCTTAAAGTCTTTAAATCAGAGAAACACAATCGGATTCATGAATGTGTTTGGGTACCTTATGAGTTCATCGATGTGCGCAAAAGCATGTGTGCTGTCAGCGTCCCACACACGAAACCGTCATTTTTGAAGCGTTTTTTTCATTTAAGGGTTTCGATGATGGCGATCTCCTGCCTGTCGGCGTGGTTTGGACTCAGGCCGTTCAGACAGAAGCTGCCGTTTCTGGTCAGAGCTCCTGGGACGGGACTGAGCGAGAGCGTCATGTTGGAGTACGTCTCTCTGTCCTCGCACAGGTTGACTGACAGCGTCCTCTTCCCGGGGGTCATTTCCTGGTTCATGGTGGCGTTAATTCCTAGCTCAGAGGACAGCTTGCGCTTGATGGACGCGGCCCGCTGGAACCGGTCGTAGATGTCGACGCTGAGCCTCCTGCGGGTTTCTTTGAACTCCGCCGATACGTTTGCCGTCCACTCGGCTGCGTGTGCGCGGAACTCGCCGACCTGCAGCGACACAGACACAGATTCATGTCAGCGGGTGGTCGARCACTTGTTCCCTTTCTTCTCAACAAAGAAATCAAACAAAGTATAATGTCCAGAATATTTTTAGACCATCTCTTCTCAGCCCGGCTGAAAATCAAAGCTGAAAATATCAGGCTGTTCTGCTTAAACTATATTCTAATCCTTGTCTGTTTTATTCCTCGCTCCTTTTTTTTATTCAAATATATATGCTGCTATGAAAGGGGCTGAAATCAAAGTCTGTTTCTTGGTGTAGAAATGTGCAAAGGCCATTACTTACTTATTTCTAGCCTATTGTTAAAAAGTTTTCTTCTTGAACACACCTTGCAGGGAAAGCAAGGCTAAATTATAACAGCCTAAGAT